TTCATTGCAATGAAAACAATGAACAAAAGTTTCATAAGCAATTTGGGATCATCTGAATCCCCTGATGGCATTCACAAGGTACATAAACCCATGCAAAATAAGTCTTGAGTCCTTTTCCAGTCAGTCTGTAAGAAAAGTCTTTGTCCTTAGACCTATCTTCCAGCATCCACTTTCCTAGCTGCTTTTCAAACGTCCAGCTTTTACATCACACTCTAGTGCCTTCATGTACCTTGACATTACACATGCTGGGGATAGGTCTGATAGGCTGGAGATCTTCTGTGGGAGGTTACTTGAAGAAATTGCTAGGTTTAATAGCATTGTGTGTAAATGCTGTACCCCATTGTTTTTAAGGGTGAAGGGCTCTACAACCTCTTTATCACACAACTTTCCAATCAGTGGCTGAAATTCCTGCCTTGATTTATTACTGGCAATAAATTTGGTGATTTTTGTTCTTTTTGTTGAGGCTGCAAGGCTGGAGGGAAGCTTTGCCTTAAAACTTTCTACCTGTTTGGCAATGTTTAATCTATCTTTGTATGGCCATGGTTTCCACTTGCAATCATTCGTTAGCCCAAATTTTCCATTCAGTGTAACACAGTCCTCTTTTGATACATTTGCAAAGCTGGAAAAAATAAGTGGCAGCATTGTTAAGTTCCCCATTAAGGAAAGCCAGAAATTTCATGTCTGAGGGAACCAGTTCAAAAGTGAAGGTTACTTGCTTCTCTGACACTGTATATGTTTTCTTCTCAATTGCTTCAATCTTGGAGGTTAATTGCAGAGTAAATTGCTCTACACATGGGTGGTCTTCTTTGCAGTTGGCACCAAATAAAAGAAAATTGTCATTTGGGGCTAGCCACTTTGGCCCAACATTTAAGAAACTCACCAACCAGGACATTGAGTCATCCCACTTCCCAAAGGGTGCTCCATCCCCCAATTGCCACTTTTAAAGGATCCTTCTTTGTGACCAAACCAATTAAGTTTGTCATTGTCCTTTCTAAATTCATTTGTTTCAAAGTAAAATTGACTAAGCATAATTAGCATTGTCTCTAAGTCTCTGTAGACCCCATCAACTCGTTGATCCCTGGGTAAGGTAGTGCACAGTGTTTCTCTCACTGACAAGGTCTCTCCAACATTGATTTCTTCAATTTTGTGCATGAGAGCACTGTAAGCAAGTGGCCTTGGAATGGGAACTCCAAAGCCAAATTTGATTCTCTCCCTTGAAAGATAACCTTTCATGGTTCTTTTCCCCAGTATGTCTCATAACCATTGCTGATCTCCCCTGCTGGTATTTTTACTTTTCCAATGATCCCCCTGCATACAGTAGAGATAAAGGAACGGATGAAATTTTCATTGCTTTCCTCGTACTCCTTCGCTTGAGCATTTATTTTCATCGCAGCTGCCCTTTTAAGCTTTTTAGAAGAATCGAAATATTTAGAAATATCAGCCATTTTGCCATATTTGAGAACAGTGGAAAACATTCCATCAAGAGCAGGAGTTCTATCTTCCACGGAACCTCCGTTCACCTCTGAAGCAGCAATCAGGGTCTCTAATTGCCTTCGTGGGCACTTCGTCTCGGTAAATTTAATTTACCCTCTCCAGTGAGTTCAGTTGGGCTTTTTTCCTACTTGTAGAAGTGTTTTGCAAGATTTCAAATGCTGTCGCACGGCTTTTGAGTTGGCGGGGTCACCTCAAGCTCAAGCTGATCCACACATTCTCGTATTTTCTCGCCATTTTTTTGTAGGCGCTCTAACTTTTTCTCAGAGCAGAGAGCTCTTTACTCTTTGACAGATACTCTTTTCGAAAGGGTAGCCCTTTCTCTAGCTAGTTCAGCTACAGGGAATCGTTTCTTCTGCGAAAATGCAAGCGATCTCCGAGGGTTCTTCTCTTCTTACTTCCCATTGCCCGATCGCCACGGTCATGGGCCTGAGGCTATTTCCTTTCAATTAAAATTGAGTATTTTTGTTACAAATTTTTTACACATATAAAAGCAAAATTATGACCGCTCAACTCGAAATTATAAACGATCAATATCTCTTCTGTGGTTCTACCGTTTCCTTTTTGAGCAAAATGAGTGCTTTAACATTATTTACCTCCGTTTTTGAAGTCGACTGAAGACTTATATTTGTAACTGCGATCGTTCTTTGGAGCCCTGTGTTCACTACGAATGCAAAAATCAAGAAATATGGACAAAGTCGATGAATCAGATATCAAACTAAAGCTTGAAAGGAATAGATTTTATTTTTTAGCACCAAACGTTTGTTTTCATTACAAGTCTCCATAAACAGGCAAAATAGATGACTCCCGGGTCCCTCTGAGTCGCCATGAAAATGGCCGAGCGAAATTTGGCCTTAAAAGGACTGGAATCTAGTGGACATTTCCTTGGCCCAATTTGAGGTCAAAATTTCCAAGCGTGACACCTGATTTCTACCTGATCATAAAAAATAATAATGGAAATAGTTATTATTTCATTCACATTTCATTCCATTCCATTCACATGGGACCAAAAAATTATGCACAGCCACACATTTAATCTGAGATAAGGTATTGTTTTATAATTTATGACAACACACTTAAACCTGACAGTCTGTATTTACCATAAAAGGGTCTTCCATCTATCTTGATCAGAAGTTTGAGAGTTGGTGAGCACACCTTATGCAGCCTTTGCTCACAAACAATCAGCTCCAAAACAGGATACAAATCCACCTGATAATCTTGTAAAGGAGTTGGCACCTTTTTCACATTCATGTATTCTTTACAAACTCCAAAGATCACTTTTTTGGCAGCCTTCATTTGATTGAGATTTAACAATATTGGTGTGTCAGAGGATTTCTAAAATGGAAACCAAAGAAAGAAAGCAAAACAAAATTAACATGGAAAACACATTGATAACTGAGGGTTAAAAACTCAGCCATTATCATAGTAATAATAAATAATAATAAGACTTTCACTTCTTGAATCACTTTCAAGCATTTAATTTGTTATTATAGAACTGCTTCCAAGTTGGGATAAACCTGAGTGCAGTCATGTCCTTTCCAAAAGAAGGAGCCCTTCTGAGAGATTAACACTATGCAATGCTGCCCCTCCACCCTTGACATTAATGATTTATGCCATCCTTTCTACATCTTTGAGGCAGAGAGGGCAAAATCCTGAAACTTTTAAGAGTTGATGTCAGTAAGGATCAAAGATCGGGCGGACAGAGCTCAAAATTTGATTTCGCCTATTATTTGTACATTGGTAGGCCCAGGTACTATACATATGAAATCAAGGTTTATTTGGCAAAATATTGTTTCGTTTCAAAGAAATTTGAATATAACTGTAAACAGTATTTTTCGTCGTAATAACCTTGAAAATTGCCAACTTTCACGAAGTTATTGAGTCATTTAGTCCATTGTTTTAAGGTGTCTTCACGGATATCCAGTTAATCTAAAGCTATTTCAGTACACTGATTCCCAAAAAAGCTCGCTAACGCTGCTCACAAAAAATATATGATTTTTTAAAGAAGCACACCAACATCCTTCTCGAATTTGGTGCAATAGCTGGTCAAAACAACGTCAGAAATGCCCGCGGTATGCAAGGAATCACACCAGAAAACCTTTTGGTATTCTTTAAAAGGATAGTTTAACTATCTACAATCTTATATGTTTGGGATCTTTTGTACTTTTTTGACAAATACTTCTTAAAGTGAGCACAATTCCGCCTTCCGCCATCTTGGAATGTCTTACATTACCGAAACGGCGAAACGGAAGTCACCACTACGGCATCAAACAGTACATATTTTTTCACTTCTTTTGACTAAAGAATCTCCCATAAGCTTTAAGATCAACCAAATTTACCTGTAATCAAGTCCAATGTCAAGAAAAAGCAGCAAGAAACGCACCATACTTCGGCGTGTCTACAATCGTAGTCTGCAACGACTAAAAGTGACTCCGTGCTGTGACTCGGGCAACGTGTGGACTTTGACGCGCTTCACTGAGTCTCACTTGTGTACCCTTCGCTTGAGCTTTCAATACTCATCCGTTTCAATTTTAGTTTTGATAACTCTCATTCCATGGGCACTTTTAACTCTCCATCCCGCATCTCGTATAACAATATTCCATTTGTCACGCAATATGTATGACAAGTGAACCGGAAATGAAATTCTCCTTAAACTCCTTTTCGGCATTTTAAGAAACTTTCCTGACTTAACAAAGTGAATCCTTCACTAAAACGGTCTAAATCAGAGGCTGCAATTTTTAAATTAAATTTATGTGGGTAAATGAAATGATCTCAACTTTAACTATAATCACACATATATCTAGAAATATCTAACTGAAACTAATACCATCATTTTTTTAGAAATGACGGAGAAAAGGCATGCCTTTGAAAATCTACTGATTTTCACATATCAATCCTTCGTTAAAAGAAAAAGTTAGGGTAACTAACTTCTTTTTCGTCACTAGAGCTGCTATCAGTTTTTTTGGCTGGTCAAAAACCATGCAATCTGCTAATACGTACAAAGCCTCTGCTGAAAAACAAAATTGGTTCGCAATTCTTTGCCTTATCTTGTATTTGTTCTTGTTGTTCATTGTTCAGAAGCAAGGAAATTCCGGTTAAACAAGTGGGCATTAAAAGTACAGTCTCTTTATCTAAGCTGTGAACTTATGCATCATTTGCAGCTGCGTACAGTCCCCGCGGGCTGACCTCCGGGATGGTCCGCGGTGGGCCAATGGCCGACCTCCAGGCAAGGCAAAATTTGCTAATGCCCTACCCCCGGGACCAACAAGGGGGAAAATATCCCACAGTGGCCCGCAGGGGGGGACTAGTTGCAGCTGGAATTGATTGATGCATTAGGGCATTGCATTTTGCCTGACCCGTGTTCCCTGAAAACTTAAGTTATAATCACGTATTATAACAAGCTCGTTCCCAGGGTTCTCTCCTACCCGGTAGGAGAGAACCCTGGGAACGAGGTTGGTGTTATAACAGGATACAAGCTTACAATTTCTCAGCCCGATTGTTCTAGTCGATTACACTCGAGCACAAGAGCACTCCTTAACGACCTGAGTAATACTACTTATAAGTGGCTTTTTTCGTTTCTCCGTGATATCATCCACGTTTAAGCAAATATCTTCACAAATGTCCCTTAGCACTGCCACTTTTAAGGTAGATAATTTCTTTGTATGAACCAAACTGCAAATGTTACGGGAAAGGGCGACAATGGGGTGACGTAAAGCAATTTCTTCGCTGACAACTTCCCTTAGGTGCGAATGTAAGGCCTCTGCCTCGACTGCACACTGCTCTTCGTCTTCACTTCCACTTTCTTCGTTCGATGTTGCTGACGTTTTTCGAATCCTTGCTGCCAGTCTTGAGAAGAATCCTGCCACCTGCTGTGGCGAAAGAATACCCTTTCCACTGAAAATACGAGCAGCCTTTTTGTCCCTCACTCTTCGCATTTCTTGCGATACCTGTTGTGGATCTGCCTTTTTACCACACTCCTCCCCGATGAGAAACTGTTCTGTGAGGAACTTTCTTTGTTCTTCTGTAAAATGGGTTCTACTCCCTGTTGTTTTAAGAGCCCATCCCATCTCAAGTGTGGAGTGTAGTTTATCAACTGAGATTTTTGATGCCGCGTAGAAACCAAAAGTTGGACCTTTCGTTTGCTCTCCAGTTATTCTCGCAGCGTATCCTTTTCTGGCTTTGTCAAACAGTGTTTCTTTTTCTAGCGCGCGCTTGTGCTTTCCTTCGTCTAAATGTGCTTGCAAACTTGAGGACCGCTGGAATGTCCGAATACACCCATCTTCTGGGCAGGTAAAAAGGCCACTTACTTCCTCTTTCTCTTTTTCTACATCCATGTCTTGTCCTGCTGTCTCTTGCTGGTCAGGACTACTCAGTCGTTGTTCAGACAAAGATTTTTGCTGCACTTCCTTTCTAGGATTGATTTTTCTAAAGCTTGGCTGCTGAGAGCGGGTATCAGGAGGCTCCAAAACTTCAATTGTAGCAGGAAAGATACCATCGGTTTGAATGTCCTTCCATGGTACCAGCTTTCCGGGCCTGATGTTGTAAGCCTCCCATGTTGTGATACCATTTGGACAAAACTGGAAGTTATTAAGCGTACTAATTCCGTCCCATTTGACCACGTTTTTGCCAGCAGATAGTTCGGGAGGCTTCACATACTTCACAATAACGCCAGGAATACCGCCATTTGATTCAATGGCTTCTTTCATCTGTGCAGTGTTGTTCACATCGTGCCCCTCGTTTAAGTACACATTGATATGTCCTTTAATTGTTGCGGCCTGGCGGTCGGCTTCTCCCTTGCCCCCTTGTGGATCTGAATAGTCGAACCTCTCCACCTTGACATCAGAAAGACTGTTCAACCTGCTTCCTACAACTGTTGACCCACAGTGAGAACATCCTGCGTTGTCCTGTTTGCAATACACTTTTTGCAGTTGTGGCCGCACTCCTTTTAACATCCCGACATTGCTTTTAAATCCAGGGTGTAATCGGCAAAGAGAAAAAGTAAGGTGCCAGGATCCAATGGGTGTAAAAGCACAGCATTGAAACAAGCAATCCAATTCATTGCCAATTAAGAATTAATCTAACAAGCTACCTTCCACTGATTTTATAGCTTCTCGGAGACAAAGGCACAGGAATAACATTCTCTCAGTGTAGAAATGTACCAGCATTTGCTCAACTGCAATGTAACAGATCATAAAGGGAAACAACAAAGGAGAACAGATTATTACCATTTTAATCAAGATTAATTTAAAGACTAAAACAGCTAGTGCTGTAATTTCATTACACTTGATTTTAAAATTGTTGTGTGATGAACAGTTTGGTGACTAGAAATTTCTTTTAAGGCCAACTCATTTGTAGTCTGTGCCACAGATGAAATTAAACTCTAATTAATTCTGTCTGTAAATCAGTATCAAAATCCTTGTTCTGGGCCCCCCAACTGTGTCTCAGGATTTGAGTATGTGGCATTTGTCAAAGCCATTGTTGGCTTGCTGATCAGGATAAAAGGAAATTCAAAACACACTTGTGGCAATTTGGAGTCTGTTGGGGGTCAAGAACAAATGACCTCAGCACTGCTTTGCAGATGTTACTAGCCAAGGTTAAATTATGTTTCCCATGGCTAACTCACTTGAGGATGCTTCTCCATGGCGATCATGGCTTGAGGCTTTTAGCCAAAGTTGGGGTTGTTCCTTGTGGGAAGCCTCAAAGCCTTGCTGACTAAATTCTCTCATGGAGAGAAAATGTCTCATTAGCATGGGTGCATGGTCAATCAGAAGATGTCTGTAATCACCAGTTTCCAGGCTGCTCCCAAATAGCTCTCTTAACAAGAAACCCCATTCTTTGCACTACAATGTATGTAAAAATGTTAAAAATAAGATATGCATTTAAGTGGTATAAACGGTATGTTAACCTCATTTTGAAATTTGCTTGCTCAACTAACTGCAACAAAATATGTGGGGACTTGCTTGTTAAAATATACTGGGCAGATGAAAAAAGTTCTGGGTGGAAGGTGCTTGCGGAGGATGATCAATAACTGAACAAATACAAACTGTATTTTAAATAAATCTGAAAATACAAAAGGTTATAATTTACATTATTTTCTTCCTTGAACTCACTCCTGTGATTGCTACTATATCTACTAAAAACTCTTAAAAATAGACACTGCTGATTAGTTGAACAGGTAAGTGATAAAAACGTGAGACTTATGATTAATGCAATGTTAAAAATAAACATACCTTGACATCAAATAGGTCAATCTCTTCTTGTTCTGTCTCTTTAAAAACTTTTTCACTTGTCATCAGGGCAATTTCTTTCCATTCTCTGCCCACCTAGAATTTAATGTTATGCAATAGGTTACAAACTAAGAATGTATTAAGGCAAATAAGTCTTTCGTTAAGACTCGGAGACACTCCATTTCAATTAGAAGCAGTATAAATTGGTGTGTTTGGCATTGATTTACAAACAATTAACAATTTTTGGATGAGGTTGAGCAAAATATCGTGATTTGTCTGTAGCAAGCAGATCAATTAAAATCAAATTGATCTGCAAGACACAGACAAATCGCAATATTTTGTGATGACCGAGTTTAATTGATGTTTTACCATTTGATCACTGAGTTTGTTTGTTTTTTTTTTCAAAGTTGGACAACACTGCACATGAGCAGACCATTATTTGCAGGACACGTGTTGGAATCTCCGCCAATGAAAAGGAAGAAAAATTTGCAACAAATGATAATAATAACTATTGGATGTTAGAAAATATTATTTGGAAATGTGCAATATTGTTGAAAGCTTGTTCACGGCATAGGCAGTGTTTCAGATATTTACCGAACACATAAACAAACAAACAAAAACAAGAACTTTTGACTACACACATGCTACTAAAGCAATAAAATAACTCACAGATAACTCAAAATTGGCTTCTAACCAGTAAGATAAGTAATTACCCTTTTCACCAATCCCAGTTGTATGTTTGCAACAGAGGTCACGAGTGCATCCTCTTCTTTGAATAGTGACTTTTTGCGTGACTTGCACAACTTCTTGAAAAAGACATGTAGCTCATCCAACTTGCCTTGACACTGAACAAGGCGAGACTCCATGTCAGCTTTAATATCTGCAAAACAGCCAAAAACTGAAATAAGACCTGAGAAAGGCTGTAATGAGAGGCCCTATATGTTATCACATCATTCAAATAACTGTTGCAAGTAAACATTTTGTTTTCCTTGGGCAAATATTTTTGAGGAATCAAAAACAAAAGCTCCTTTTGATGTGGCTAAATATCATTTAGGCAAAGTTAGACTGGAGCAAAGCTGGTCAGTGGTCTCTGCCTTTGCAGTAAATGACCTCTGTGGCAGCCCTTGGGTTTTTCGCTGGGCGTCCTTTGTGTTTGTGGCTAATGTCACACTTGCATTGTTGCTTTGCTTGCTCATCGTATCGTATTAAATTCGCAATAATTGCTCGCTGATCATCTGAGTGGCGGGCAGTATTGTAAGTATTATCATCAATAAGTATCTCCACTGAACTTTCTCAGTGTGATGGTGTCAGTTAGTGGGCTGCTTGAGGGATGGTTCCCACTTCCAGGGTTGCCATATATACCTCCTCTCTGCTGCTTGCTTTTGGCCCCACACTAACCTTTAGGGTACCAGCTCCTAAGCTCATCATTAGCAATAAGTTTAATTTTTCTAATATTTTCCAAACTCATCGTCCAAAATTTTTTGATTTCAGCATAAAACACTCAGTAAAGTCATATTATAGTATGGTAAACCTTCTTTAGCCAGTGAGAGAAAAAATCAGAACTTGTAACCAAAGAAAAAACAAAGTATTATTACTACTGTTGCTCTACAAACCTGAGCCTTCCAAATCAATTATCTCAGTATGTGTACCAAAATCTCTTACAAAGGTGCCCAGTTGCTTAAAGCTTCTGAAAAGTTCTAAACATTTGGAAAAATGCATTAATTACATAACATTGTGCTACCATGCTACTTGAGGAAATGTTCCCTCACACCAATTTCATTGTCTTAAAGAGAATGTCTGCATGTCTTTATGCTACTTAAAGGACAGCACTTTCTAGAAAAAACTGAACTGGGTTACAGTCACTCATTAGCAACACTAGGTTACACTGGATGTGCCACCTAGAGTGCAGCCAAAGGAAGTTACCTTTACTAAATAAAACACTGGGTTACACTGCACCATGGGTGTGCCACCTAAAGTGCAGCCTATGTTAGTTACCTTTAACTACAGAAAATACTGGGTTACACTGCCTACACACCTTCCTATGTTGCATTTGCTTCTGAGGCAATCTAGGCATGTCTCATCTGGAGCAACATCATGGCATTTGCAACCCTGACAAAAACAGGTACACTATCAAACTGAATAATAGTACATAATGTTGAATAAGATAGAAAAATTTATAATTTCAGATAGAACTACACATTTATCATGCTTCCGATTATCTTCTTCAGAGTTCATGCAGATTTTTGGATCCAAAATTCAAGACTTTTCCCAGACCTTTTTTCCAAAACATCAATTTATTTTTCCAGACTGAAGGTTGTCAAATAGGTGATCAATAGAGATCTTGAAAAATGCAGAAACCAAGCTTCTTTCATGATGCACTGCAAATGTACAGTAACCATGGTGCAATTATGAAACTTCTCATTCTGTGATTGAATGTCTTAGCTACAGGCAAGATCGAATTGACCACTGGGAAAAAAAATGAACTTATTAAGCACTTTTTTGTAGCTACAAAAAAACTCCAGACTTGAACTATATTTCTAGACATTATCTTCAATTTCAAGACTATTTCCAGGTCTGGAAAAATCAAGACTTTTCCAAGAATTTATGACTCTGTGTGAGCCCTGTTCTTTTTTACAGTACATGTATTCACACTTTCAGTGATTTTTAAATGTTTTAAGGCAGAATGACCTTATGACCTTTAGAGAAGTACAATACAGCATTAAAAGGTTTTGACTGAATTAAAGCTACTTGATGTTTCTATCACTCACTAAGTATTTTCCCAAATATTGGCAAAGATCAAAGTCATCTGAAATCACTGTAAAAAAGTTGATGAACTGATCCAGCACTTTTATGTACCTAAACTTTAACAGCACAAGTTGCAGTTGCCCTATACTAATTTCTATATCATTTGAGTACTTTACCCTGATAGCATTGCAGATGAAACAGAACTCGACACTGACACCTCTACCACCTAACATGAATGAAGCATTCGTCTTCTTCACCAAAAGAAGTACCAAGGTCTTGTAGTCCAGTACAACTAAGTTTGCTAACAGAAATGGGAAAGCAAAAGTTAACATGCTAAACTTTCCAGAAAATTAATCTCTAAATGTATCTTAAGAAAAGGGTAGTCAAATCAATTTCTGACGTACAATAGTAATAAATTCCAGGTTTTATTTCTTGCTGCTGCAGTTAAATCTTGAACATGTTTTACAACATAAAAAACTCTTAATTTACTATAGTTTGACTACTGCTTCAATCTAGTTCTAGTCAGACTACCAATTGGGTAGAAACACAATAAATTGCTATAAATAGTATCATGAACAAGAAGTTGACTTTTAAAGCAAATTCCAAGACTAACATTGATACTTACCCAGAAATGTAATGTCTACCATCAACTGTTATTCCTTTTTCCTTTAATATTTTCTTCTGGTGGTTGAAATCCTCAAGAAGAATCTTGAGGTTGTCTCTGTCAACAAACA